AGCTCCACACGACCGTTGCCCCCCTGACAGCCGGGGCGCTCCTTCTCGTCTCCGGCGGAAGGCGGCTGAAGGCCTGCAGAATGAAAGAGGCGGTTGCGGGCCCTCCAGCGGAAGCCGGCGAACGGCCGCCAGAAGGCAGCGGCAATAGAAGAGAGGCGTCGACATGTTTGGACTCAAGGTTTCTGGAATGGCCGGCCAGAGGGCTGCCCCCTGACAGTTCTTAGCAGACTTGAACAGAAGTGCAACGAATACGGGCAACACGTTTGCAGTCGTCGCCACACAGACGTGCGCGAGCGCCATGCAATAGCGTACCTATTCTCCTCAGGAGGAGGAAGGGTGGGGAGGGGGATACGAGGGGAGGGGCAGGACGTACAACTGCACTGAGATGCACTTGGGCTCCTAGACTGGCCCCAAAGAGCCGAGTGCAGCAAACAATTGATAGCACAAAAGCGTAAAACGCGTTGAAACCGGAGCCACCTTTGTGCCGTAATTCTCAGAGGGTAGCCCTTGGGCACTCGTGGCAAAACGACATCGGTCAAACAACCCGAAATGCGCCGCCAAGTCGCTACAGACACCGACAATGACCAGAGCGCGCCACGTACCCTGGTACCCTGGAGTTCATCGTTGAAGAACACGACATAGAACAGCAACAATGCCCAGTGCAGCACACGTAGGGTACAGCCCTGGAGGCATCTCGGAGGTCGCGAGCTCGTATGAGCCAAAGCTGGCCTGAGTCGGGATGGGACTTGAGAGTGGATGGAGGATGGGGGGATGGGGGTGAAGTGCGGAGAGGAGGGAGGACAGGGGATGAAGGATGATGGAAGATGAGGAGAATGAGGAAAGGAAAGGATGGGATAATGAGGGGGGAAGAGGAGAGGTAGAGGGGATGAGGAAACGCGGAGACGAGAGGGGGGAGCGGGGCAGAGGAGCGGGGAGGAGGGAGGGAGGGGAGCAGATGGAGAGGGGAGGAATGATCTTGTCGCTTTTTTGGTGGGACATGTCTGGCGCGGCGTTGGGGGCCTAACAGGCATTCTGGGAATGCGGATGTGGAGGAGGGAGCAGGAAGAGGAGTGGGATATGGGGGAGAGTAAAGGAAGATGGGATGGATGAGGGATAGAGGAGAGGGGGGGGACTGAGATGGAGGGAAGAGGATGATCGGCCGACCGAAGGGGGCGCTGTCGGGGCACCCAACACCCCGCGGCCCGACCACCAAAGCAATTGCTTGATAAAGCGGGCCCGCCTGGCTCGCCGGGTCTGCACAGGCTTGGTGGGGTCCCGGCGGGACCACAACATGGTCCACTCGTTTGGAGGCTGGCAACCAGGTAAACGCCAACGGGCCTCCCATGCCACCAGGATAGCTTGAAATCCGTAGATTGAGCTTGTAACCACCTGTGCCCTTGGAACTGCCCAGGCGTGCGCATTTCGTGCACCAGAGTAGGCCACTCATTACCAACAGACAGTGGGACTGGTGCACGGTCTTACCCCCGACAGGATAGGGAGAAGGGATGAGAGGATGAGGACGGGATGCGAGGCGGATGAGGATGATAATGAGGAAACATGAAGGAATAGAAGGCGGATGATGATGCGGAGAATGAGGATGAGGCGGATGATGATGATGATGATGATGATGATGATGATGATGATGATGATGATGATGATGATGATGATGATGATGATGATGATGATGATGATGATGATGATGATGATGATGATGATGATGATGAGGATGGTGATGATGATGCTGATGATGCTGATGATAATGATGCTGATGATGATGACGATGCTGCTGATGATGTGATGATGATGAGGATTATGACGGTGATGATGCTGCTGATGATGATGATGATGATGCTGCTGATGATGAGGAACAGGAGGATGAGGATGAGGAGCACCAGGGTGCAAAGAGCAAGAACAGGAGGCGGATGAGGGAGGAGGAGGATGGGGAGAAGGAAAAGGAGGAGGAGGATGAGGAGGAGGAGGAGGAGGGGGAGGAGGAGGAGGAGGAGGAGGAGGAGGAGGAGGAGGAGGAGGAGGAGGTGGAGAAGGAGCAGGAGCAGGAGCAGGAGGAGGAGGAGGAGAAGGAGGAGGAGGAGGAGGAGGAGGAGGAGGAGGAGGAGGAGCAGCAGGAGGAGGAGGAGGAGGAGGAGAGGAGGAGGAGGAGGAGGAGGAAGCAGGCGCAGGAGCAGGAGCAGAAGCAGGAGGGGGGGGGGGGGGAGGAGGAGGAGGAGGAGGAGGAGGAGGAGGAGGAGGAGGGGAGGAGGGAGGAGGAGGAGAGGAGGAGGAGGAGAAGGAGGAGGAGCAGGAGCAGAGGAGGAGGAGGAGGAGGAGGAGGAAGAGGGGAGGAGGACGAGGAGGAGGAGGAGGAGGAGGAGGAGGAGGAGGAGGAGGAGGAGGGGGATGATGATGATGATGATGATGCTGATGATGATGATGATGCTGCTGCTGCTGCTGATGATGATGAGGAGAGAGGAGGAGGAGGAGGAGGAGGAGGAGGGGTAGGAGGTGGAGGAGGGGGGGAGGAGGAGGAGGAGGAGGAGGAGGAGGAGGAGGAGGAGGAGGAGGAGGAGGAGGAGGAGGAGGAGAAGGGAGGAGAAGGAGGAGGAGGAGGAAGAGGAGGCGGGGGAGGAGGAGGAAGAGGAGGAGGAGGAGGAGGAGGAGGAGGAGGAGGAGGAGGGGGAGGAGGAGGAGAAGGAGGTTAGAGAGGAGGTCAAGGGACGGGAGGAGTAGGCAGATGTATGGACGTGGAGGGGGGTATGGATGGACGAAGAGTGGACAGGTGGAAGGAGACGAGCGAAACAAACCAGGGGGAAGGGGAGGATGGGCAAGGGGGTAAAATGGGAGGCGAGGGAGGGATGAGGACCATGGCAAAAGGAAGAGGAACATCACTGGGGAGGGGAGGGAGGAAACATCCGCCTCCCCCTCCCACTCCTCTCGTCTTCTCCACCTTCTCCTTCTTCTTGTTCCTCTTCCTCGGAGTTGGAAAGGGAGGAGCAGATACGAAATCAAACAGGCATTTCCAACTTCCCCCTTCATGATCCCCCTCCCCCTCTCCCTCCCGCTCCTCCTCGTCCTCCCGCTCCTTGTGCTCCCTTCCTTCCTCACCGAGCGCGCGAAGGGAGAGGGAGGAGGAGCGAGGAGCGAGCAGCCAGGGGAGAGAGGGGCGAGGAGGGAGCGAGCAGCGAGGAGCGAGGAGAAGGAAGCCGACGACGACGACGACGACGACGACGACGACGCCGCCGTCGTCATCGTCATCGTCGCCGTCGTCGTCTTCCCTCTCTTCGGCGGCGGCGGAGACGAAGACGACTGGTACACTGGCCTGGCCGCACCCAGCCCGCGCCAACCCCGGGCTCGTTTTCACCTCCCAGGCGCTGTCGCTGTGATCGTCGTCGCTGTCGTCGTCGTCGCCGTCGCCGTCGTTGTCGCCGTCGCCATCATTGTCGTCGTCGTCGCTGTCCTCCTCCTCCTCCTCCACCGTCTCCTTCTCCAATCACTCCTTTCCACCTCCCGCTACTCCTCCGCCTCTCCCTACGCCGAGGGCGGTCGACGTCGTCGTCGTCGTCGTTGCCACCGCCGCCGCCATCGTCATCATCTACATCATGGCTGTCTTGGAAGTCGTCGTCGTCCTTCCCAACCGTCATCCCGTTTTGATGCAGTAGCGCCACGCGTTTCCTTCCTTCCTCTTCCTCCTCCTCATTCTCCTTCTCCTCCTCCCCGTCGTCCCTCCTCCCATCCCTGCCTCTGCCCTCCTCATCGTCATCGTCATCGTCATCGTCATCCGCGTCATCACCACCACCATCATCGCCATAACCACCACCACCACCGTCATTATCATCATTATCATCATCATCGTCATCATCATCTTCATCATCAGCATCCTCGTCATCGCCATCGCCATGGGATGGCCACCACCATCGCCGTCGCAATCGCCACCGCCACCTCCACCGCCATCACCATCATCATCGCCATCACCATCAGCATTACATCCAGCATCATCATCAGCATCATCAGCATCAGCATCAGCATCAGCGCATCAGCATCACCACCACCACCATTCACATCATCATCATCATCATCATCATCATCATCATCATCATCATCATCATCATCATCATCACCACCATCATCATCATAATCACCATCAGGATCACCATCACCAGCACCACCATCAACATCAACATCAGCATCAACATCAACATCAACATCATCACCAACATCAGTATCAACACCACGAGTCCGTCATTCTGCTCCCGATAGCGCTGCTGGCGTCCGTCCTGCTGCTCACGGCTCCGCCGTTGGGTTCCGCCTTCCGGCTGTGGCGCCGGGGGCTCTTCAGGACGAGCAGCAATCGAAGGGTCCACTCCTTCACGGACGCTTCGAAAATCCGGCCGTGGCGACGAGGGCTCTCCAGGACGCACGGCAGTGCCAGGATCCCCCGTCCACCGCCCCCCCGAAATCCTCCGCCCCCCAAAGAACCCCCGATTCCCCCAGGACCGCGCAACCCGCCGTCCTCCTCCCTAATCGGACTAGGCACGCCTCTGGGCGTGGCGGCGTTTGGTGCGAGAGGTTCGTCGATTCCTTGAGAACCCTGGCGGCCTCTGGACACGGGCCGCTGTGGTTCGGGGGATCTTGCGGACCGGGGGGGGGCGAGGGTCGTCGTCCTCGTCGCCGTCGTCTTGGTCGAGAGCCGTTGCGAAGTTGCATCCTTCAGGGGCACCATCGCCGTTTCTCCGCGGACACGGCCGTGCGAACCATCGGGGTGCTTTGTTGGGCCAGCCTCTGGGCTGGCGGCCGCATCAGGGAAGATTGCGTAGACCTGGCCGTCCGTGGCCTGCACTCGAACGCGGGAGCCAAGGGGCACGCCGGTGCCGACGTTTGGGGTCGAGCTGGGGGGGTCGGTTATTCCCGCGTTCCCGCATCGTTGTCCCACTGACTGCTGCCGCGCGCCGCTTGGGCGTCAAGCTGCTGCTGCGCGGTACCTTCGCGTGTGCGACTGGGGCTGCCAGGGGCTGCCTGTGGGACTGGGAACGGGGTGGTGTAGCCTTCTGACCACGGGAGGCTGGGCCCCGTCGGGGCCTGCCTCCGCTTCCGGGGGGTCTGGCTCTGAGGCCACTCGGGTCGCCCTTTATCGTGCCGACCCTTTGGGGGGGTGCGCTGGCGTCGTCCCTGGGCGGGGATGGCCTGGAACGTGGTAGACTCGACCCCGTGGGCGCCTCGTGCGTTGTCTGCGCCACATAGCTCGCGCAACTTCCGTCGCTGGGGACGCCAGTGACCGTGGCAAGAACTTGTGAGAAATCGTCTGCGCCGTCCCTGGGTGGGGATGGCGCCAAGCGAACCGTAACCGACCCCCCATCGCTGGGGACGCCGCTAATCGTGGCAATTCCAGGTGTGAGAGCTTCCGCGTCGTCCCTGGGTGGGGACGACGTGGAATTGGGTGGGGATGACGCGGGGCACGGTAGACCCACCCCTGTGGGCGCCTCGTGCGCTGTCTGCGCCGCATAGCTTGCGCAACTTCCGTCGCTGGGGGCGCCGCTAAACGTGACAGAAACTTGCGACAAAGCGTCTGCGCCGCCACTGGGTGGGGATAGCACAGAGCGAGGCATGACCGACCCTCCACCTCTGGGGGCGCCACTAATCGTGGCACCTCCACGCGAGGAAATATCTGCGTCGTCCCTGGGAAGAAATGGCGCGGCACAAAGTGGGCCCAACCCCGTGGGCGCCGCGTGCGCTGCCTGCGCCGCATAGCTTTCGACACCACTAGCCGTGGCAGGGACTTGTGAAAACGTCTGCGCCGTCCCTGGGTGGGGATGGCGCCAAGCGACGCATATCCTACCCCCCATCGCTGGGAACGCGGCTGATCGTGGCAACTCCAAGTGAAAACGCTTCCGCGTCGTCCCTGGGTGGGGATGGCGCGGAACTGAATGGGGATGGCGCGGGACATGGTGGACCCACCCCCGTGTGCGCCTCGTGCGCTGTCTGCGCCGCGTAGCTTTCGCAACTTCCGTCGCTGGGGGCGCCGCTAATCGTGACAAGAACTTGCGACAAAGCGTCTGCGCCGCCACTGGGTGGGGATGGCGCCAAGCGAGGCATGACCGACCCTCCACCTCAGGGGGCGCCACTAATCGTGGCACCTCCATGCGAGGATGTGTTTGTGTCGTCCCTGGGAGGGAACGGCGCGGAACAAGATGGACCCAACCCCGTGGGCGCCTCGCGCGCTATCTGCGCCGCATAGCTTGCGCAACTTCCGTCGCTGGGGACGCCGCTAACCGTGGCAGGAACTTGGGGGACAAAAGCGTCTGCGCCGTCCCTGAGTGGGGATGGCGCAGAGTGAGGCAGAACCAGCCCTCCATCGCTAAGGGCGCCAGTGCTCGTGGCCATTCCGCCAGGATCCCCCCTGCCTCCGCCCCCATCAAAATTCTCCGACCCCCCGAACATTCGGCCGTAGCGACGAGGGCTCACCAGGACGAGCAGCGGCCCGCACCTCCACGTCGACCTCCGCCCCCGCATTCCCGACGTCCACCTCCGCGTCCCCGCCCTCCCCCTCCTGCGCCGCGTCCTCGCCCGCCCCTCCCTGCACCGCGTCCACCTTCGTGTCGCCCTCGTCCCAAACCGCCGTCTCCAACTCCCTGGCCTCCTCCACCTCCTCCTCGGCCCTGGCGACGTCCACCTGCGCGACCTCCTTCGCCTCGTCGTCGCCGACGCCTGCTGCAACGGCCCCTTCTCGCGCGCTTATCGAGGTGCTGTAGCAGATGATGGTGGGCTCCAACTTCACTCCCGCCATCTCGTTAAGCAGCGCCAGGGCCCGCTGCCACCGCCCCTGCCAATCCTTTTCGCGCATCGGTCGGGGCGCTGGCGCGGCCGAAGGTGGGCTCCAGCGTCGCTCCCGATGTATCTCGGAGCAGCGCAAGAGCCGGCTGCCGCCGCCCTGTCAGTCCCTCTCGCGCGCATTGGTCGGTACATTGGTCGGTTTGCTGGAGCAGCTGATGGTGGGCTCCGGCATGATTCCCAACGTGTCTCGGAGCAGCGCAGGGGCCGGCTGCCACTGCTCCTGCCAGTCCTTCTCGCACGCGTTGGCCAGGGTGGTGTTGCTGGCAGGCATCATCTTTCAATGGCATTTTCCGAGCCAGATCGACCTGGGCTGACCCCAAGGCTCGAATCGAGGCGAAAAGTGCGTCGCGCTTCTCGCGGTCGTGCTGCCGAAGTCCATCGTGCTGCTCACGATGGCGCTGTTGGGGTCCGTCATGCTGCAGAAGACCCTGTTGGTGTAATTTCTCGTGCTGCTCACGTTCGTCCTGCCCGACTCCATCTTGATGCTCACGAGCCTGTCGCTCCAGGCCAGGTGGCGCGCTCGACCGGGCCACTGCTCGGGCCGCAGCTGCCGGCGCCTGGGCGAAGGCGGCCGTAGCCGCCCAGAGCCCAGCAGCGGCCGCCGCCGCAGCGGCGTCCGCGGCGGCGGAGGCGGCGCCACCAACGCCCGCGGCGCCCACGGCGTCGGCGGCGCCCGCGGCGCCGGGGGCGCGCCCCGGGCGCCGGCAGCGCCCTCGGCGCCCGCGGCGCCAGCGGCGCAGGCAGCGCCGCGAGCGCCAGCAGCACTGGCGGCGCACGCGGCGCCAGCAGCCCCAGCGGCACCCGCGGCGCCCACGAAGCCCGGGGCGCCCGCGGCGCCAGCGGCGCCCGTGGCGCCCGCGCCGCCCGCAGCCCCGCTGCCGCCGCCGCTGCGCCGCCGCCGCGCCGCCGCGGTCTCCATCGTGCCGGGGCCGGAGCGCCGCACCTGAACCAGAGCGTGCTCGAGCCCAGACGGCCTGGAGCCAAGGCTACGATAAGTGGAGGGAAGCACACAAACCTGACCTTCCCAGGGACAGCGACCTGCTGCCCAGCCAACCTGTGCTGTGGGGCCCCGCCATGCAGGGCCCATTTGGAGGACCCAGACGTCTCACTGCAACTGATAGCCACTCCTCCAGATTGGCCCCATATAAAGGCCGCAGGGTCACCTACCATATTATACCATGCTGTAGATGCCCAGCTCCTCGAAGCGATCGGTGATGCGGGATTGAGCCTGGTCTCCTGGGAGATGGCCACCGCAGGGGCCTTCCCATGCTAATGGTGCATCCACTTCAAGAAAGCCTGACACTTGGGCCAAGCGTTGCAATTTTACGCGACCGCCTCTAGCTCCTTGAAACTTGCATCTTTTGTCTCCGACGGTATTAGGTCCTGGCAGCCTTGCCAGGAAACGACGACCCTAGGGTTTGAGGAGCACCACCTTAGGGTCCGTTCTGACCCGCGGGCGAATGCGTCGGCTGTCGTCCACTCGGGCGCTCTGCTCCGAGCTGGGGCCTATGGGTCGCGCCAGCGAGGGTTGGGACCAACGGGGGCTGACATCCCCCTCGTGGTGGCCGTGTGAGTGGAAGCATCCGCCACCGTCTTCTCGGAGGTCCCGCTCTCGACCGCGAATCCTGCATGACGCTCAACGGTGCTATCCAGGGCATCGCTTGAGCTGCACTCGGGGTCGTGCGCAGGAGCTCGATGTCGAGGGGGCCCGTGACGTTGAACTCTTGCAAGCCCCACAGCCGCTTTAGAAATAACCTCACCCACGTTCTCGCCCCCGTGCTTGAACGTCGTCATTGAGTCGAAGGGAAGCCCCTTCCCTTTCCCTTCCCCGACGGGGGGGGGAGAGGAGGTCCCGGGGGGGGTCCCGGGGGAGTCCCGGGGAAGTCCCGGGTCAGATACGACACCTCCCTCCCCCACCTTCTCGTCCTTCTCCCCGTTCCCCCAAACCATCCCACAGCCCGTGCCTCTTGCTGCGCATTGCGAACAGGGTCGGCGGCACCGGCCGTCAGGCCTTCGCAATAACCTCACCCACGTTCTCGCCCCCGTGCTTGAACAGCGAAGTAATACGATCTCCATCCTCGAAAGGGGCATTCGCAGGTAGTCCCACGCGGGCTCTGGGCGTCTCTCCGTGGAATCGGTGCGCCTGCAGTCGTGCTCGCCCTTCTGCTCGTATTCCTGGCTCCCTCGGTCCTCTGCTGGCTCGACGATTCGAGGACCCCGGGGTTGAGGAGGAGGAGGAGGAGGAGGTGAATGAGGAGGAGGAGGAAGAAGAAGAGGAGAAGGATGAGGAGGTGAAGGAGGTGGAAGAAGAGGACGCCGGCGACAGCATTCCTCGCCCTCGTCGTCCTCCTCTTCCTCCCTCTCCCCCTCTTCCTCGCGCCGTTGTCGCCCTCCTCCCTCCTCCTCCACCGCCCCTCCCTCCCCGCCCCTTGCGGACAGCGCGGCATTTCCGACCAAACGTGTGGGCTGCGATCCCTTCAGGGCGACGACCACGACGTCAGAGACGGCAGCAGCGGCGGGCGCGCCGTGGGCGGCGGCTGCGGGCGCGGCGTGGGGCACGTAGATGGCCTGCGGCGGGCGGCGGTCGAAAGCACGGGCGGCGCGGCGCGGTGGGCGGCAGCGCCGCTGAGCGAGGCGCGGGGCTGCGAGACAACGTCAGCAGGGTGGGAAGCAGCTAAAGGGAAGAAGCATCCATCGTGAATCGGCGATCTTCCTGTATTTGTGTGAATATGTCTACGTGCTAAGATGTGTACTGTACACTTATGCATATGCGTCTCCATGTGTGTACGCGCGCATGTTGATGCATACATACTTCCGTACACATAGGCACACATACTTACACACATGTATGTATGTATGTATGTAGGTACGTATGTATGTATGTCTGTCTGTCTGTCTGTCTGTCTGTCTGTCTGTATGTATGTATATATACACATACATGTATATATACATATGTATATATATATATATACATATATACATATATATATATATATATATATATATATATATCCATATAATCTATACGCATATACATGTATATATACATATATATACATATGTATATACACAAATGTACACACACTGCTTTTGTCAGGCGTCCACTCGCGGGCGGGGGCCGCTTCGGGGCTCTTGGACGTTCTTGTGGGCCTCTTGGGTCTTGGGGCTTTCGGGATCATCGTGGGAGCCTCTTGGGCGCGTCCTGGGAGCTCTTCAGAGTGTCTTGGGAGCCTCATTGGGGCATCGTGGGTGCCTCTTCACGCGTTCTCGGAGCTTCGTGGAGTCACTTGGCGTCACTTGGGGCCGCTTGGGGTGCCTCTGGGGGCCATCTTGTGGTCTCTTGGAGGTCATGCGCAAGCCGCAGATGCGTGTCGGAGGCGAAAATGCGAGAACGCAGTATTCATTGACTTTCTTATGGTTTTCCCTTGGGTCTCTCGAAGATTTCATTGGGCCTTTCTTGGGCGATGTTGGGGGCCTCTTGGTGCTGTCTTGGGCGTTCTTGGGTGTCTCGTGACCGTCTGTGTCCGGGCCGTCTGAAAGCTCCGGTGGGGTGGCATCTCGGAGCCATCCTGTGTCGTCCTGAAGCCCTCCTCGAAGCTCCCTGGGAGGGCCGGGAGGGCGGTACTGGGGATTTGCCGCAGATGTCAACGAGGTGGGCGGTGCTCAGGGGGTCGGGGGCGGCGTCTGTTGTTTCTTCTTCTTCTTGTTATTATCCTTCTTCTTCTTATGAGTCTTCTTCTTCTTCTTCTTCTCATGTGTTGTAATTGTTGTTTTCTTAGTATTGCTATTCTTAAGGTGATTCATATTCTTAATCTTGCTCTTATTAATAGCATTCATACTATTATTATCATTGTTGTTAATACTAATGGCGCTGCTAGTTCTTCTATCCTTTATCGTTGATATGTGTATATATACACATAAATATGTACATATATATACATCTATCAGATAAATCGGCGATCGGCCCAACATGGCAAGTCCGCACGGTCCTGGGCGGGGCGGGTTATCAGGCCCCCTATCGGCGATGAATGGGCGATCGGGGGTCGATGCGTCCTCCTCTGAGCCTATTGTCCCGCATGCGTTGCCGTGGGGGGCGGGGCACGAAAGGAGACGGTGCGGGAAGGGCCCCGTCATCCGACGCCTCGAAACAACAAGAGGAAGGCCGGTGTCTTTCGCCGTGTGAAGGATGTGCCGAGATGGACATGCGGAGGGGCGGATTTTGCAGAGGCACGGATGGGAGGTGGGAGGGGGGAGGGAGGAGTGAGGGGACGCGGGGCGCTCTCTTCAACACAAGAACCCAGCAACACAGGATGATTGGGGGAAACAACGCTAGTAGTAGTAGTAGTAGTAGTAGTAGTAGTAGTAGTAGTAGTAGTAGTAGTCGTAGTCGTAGTCGTAGTCGTAGTCGTAGTAGTAGTAGTAGTAGTAATAGTAGTAGTAACAGTAGTAGTAGTAGTAGTAGTAGTAGTAGTAGAAGTAGTAGTAGTATAGTAGTATAGTAGTAGTAGTAGTAGTAGTAGTAGTAGTAGTAGTAGTAGTAGTAGTAGTAGTAGTAGTGATAGTAGTAAGTCGTAGTTGACGTCGTCGTAGTCATCGTCTAGTCATGTCTCATCTTCGTCAACGTCGTTCGTCTCGTGGGTCGTCGTCGTCGTTGTCGCTCTCGTCTCGTCGTCTCGTCGTCGTCTCCTAGTCATTGCGTCGTCGTCGTGCGTGTCCGTCGTCGTCGTCACGTCGTCCTTTTAGTCCGTCGTCGTCGTCGTCCTCTTCAGTCGTCCTCGCGTCGTCGCCTCGTCGCCGTATCGCCGTCGTCGCCCGTCGTCGCCCCCCCGTCGTTCGTCAGTCGTGCTCGTCGTTCGTCGGCTCGTCGTCGTGTTGCCGTCGTCTCGTTCCTACGGACTAGTAGTAGTCGTTGTAGTAGTACAGTAGTGTAGTAGTAGTAGTAGCAGTAGTAGTAGTAATAGTAGTAGTAGTAGTAGTAGTAGTAGTAGTAGTAGTAGTAGTAGTAGTAGTAGTAGTAGTAGTAATAGAAGTAGTAGTAGTAGTTAGTAGTTAGTAGTAGTAGTAGTAGTAGTAGTAGTAGTAGTAGTAGTAGTAGTAGTAGTAGTAGTAGTAGTAGTAGTAGTAGTAGTAGTAGTAGTAGTAGTAGTAGTAGTAGTAGTAGTAGTAGTAGTAGTAGTAGTAGTAGTAGTAGTAGTAGTAGTAGTAGTAGTAGTAGTAGTAGTAGTAGTAGTAGTGGCCGAAGTCTTTCGCCGTCTCCAGCCTCTGGGGGCCCCCGTCGGGCCTTCGAGGCCGCCTAAACACAGCTCCAGGTGAAGCGCCGGACCTGAGGCGAGGGTCGGGGCCCTGGGGTATCCGTTTCGTTTTCTCGTCTTCTTTCGTTTGAGTAGATGATCAAGAGATTATTTCATTGATTTTTGATGTCGGGAAGGGGGGAGGGCGAGGGGACGTCGAGGGCGACGCGTGGGGGGCGGCGACGAGGGGGCCGCGGCGGGGAGGAGTACGACGAGGCGGCGGCGAGGACGGCGGGGAGAGGGCAGCGACGAAGGGGGAGCCTCGAAGAAGGGACGACGATTGGGGGACGACGACGGGGAGGGGGTCGACGACGACGACGACGAGGAGAGATGGACCTACAGCTGAACGAGGGGATGCAGGGC